GGGGGGGGGTTTCCAAGAAATTTATTAGACATTAATTACAAGATTTCTGTTTTTCATGTTTAATGGAGGGTTAATTGTTGACCACCGACTAGGGTGAGGGGTGCCAATTACTTTTTCCTTTCACTGTATATTCTGAAAGATTTCTGCTTATAGGTATACTCACAGCATTTGATAATGACACCACTGTTTTATTATATGTCGTACTGAAGAAAGGACTCTCTATTGTCTTGAGCTTGACTTGAGTCAAAAAATTTTCATAGCCACTACCACGAGGACTCTTCACGACTAAAATAAGTGCTGCCTGCATAGCTTCTGTGATAAAGATGTCACTCTGAGTAATATTTCTAAAATAGAAATGAAGACAATCTCCTCTCATCTTTTTTAACCAAGAACAACTGATAATACTACAAAATGGTCTATGTCAAGATATCACTTTACAAAACTCACCACTTACAGATCAAATTATAAATGCCCAGAGATATCTGATAAAACTACAGAGTAAAGCATTTAGGTATCCTTTTCATGGTTGCCACAGTCATAGAATCTTGAAATTCACTGGCTTTTCCCAAACAAATTCAAAATTTCCCTAGCCAACAGAATTAATAATTTCACAAACAAATCCTGAAAATGGCCTCCAACCTCCACTTACAGCCATCCTTCACACCGATAACTTTCTGCTTTCTGCCATTCCTATACATTGTGCATGTATTGATACTTCCTTAAGGTAACGTAAAAAAAGAATTGATTTTCTTGGAGACCCAAGATCTGAGCTTGTTATTCAATTTCTTTAACTTCATGTTCATGAAATCTACTGCAGAATTCAAAAACGATAAGTAACCAATGAAAAAGAAAAAGAAAAAGAAAAAAAAGTGTGTAATTTCATTCACAAACCAACGTGAACTTGCATTAAAAAGGGGAGGGATATGCTTGTCAGAAATCTATCAATTTTACTGCACAATATACATGAGTAACATTGACATGATGAAAAAGAAAGATTGACCATCTTCCATCATGAAATGTATTGGCTAAGACAAGATGAACAAATTTAATTTTTACATGAAATTTCACATTTCCTGGACTTCTTTCAAAAATGTAAATTTTCTTGGACTCAAAGTGAAAATTCCTGACTTTTCCCTGATTTTGAAGAACTTTATTTTTCCCTGTAAATAACCACCAAACCATAGCCAACCACCAACAATTCTCAACCTAAAAAATCCACACATTATCAAGCAAACAGGTACTGAGAATACTCAAGCATATCAGGTAGAACTTGTTAGCTTGATCTAACATCAATTTCTTGAAACTAATTTACAAGAAAATGTTTTACAAATCTTGGGAGTTAGAGGATTAAAGACTAACCTTTTTATACGAGGTCGATGATGGTACCAAAAGAACTTGAGCTTATTGTTTCTATCTACCGTCAATTGATCTAACTCAAATAAGATGAATGCATAATCTTCATTGATCATTCCCTCCTGCCTTGCAAGGTAAAGAGTCTCCAGGCCAATGTTGTAGCTACCAATAACGAGAACAACTAAAATCAAACAAATTAAAGTGAGATAGAATGAGAAATCTACATGTAACAGTAAAGTCTTTCCCACAGGTTACATGTAGAATGAAGAAAGTCGTTCTTTGCTCAGTCACGAAGGCAAAAAAAAAGAGAAAAATTTGAGTCCAATGATCACATTACATGCAGGATTCAAAAACCCAGCCCATTGCAGTTGGCTCTCCAATGCTCAGACACTGAGCCAGTAATAATTATTATAATTATCATCTTTTTCCTGACAGTCCACCTGTACCCATTTATAATCCTGGATGGAGAGAGAGGCACTGTGTGAATAAAGGTGTCTTACCCAAAGTGCACAACACAAAATAAAGACCTGACTATGTCTGGAACCCAGAACCTGGCATAACAGAACCACTGTAACAACTGACCCTACTACGTAATCACAGTCAAATGACTTACTGCGTGCTTTATTTTTGAGCTCCTTTAGTGCATCAGCAAACCGTGCTTCATGTTTACTATCATAATATGACGGGTTCACAGTTGTGTATTCCATTGCTACCTCTATTCCCTGTTTTTCAAATTCCTCCACAAGGTAGTCTTTCAAATCCATCCATTTTGTTGCATTCTGAACAATAATAGCAACTCTAGTCCAATTGTAGGTATACTTCAACAGACTGATGATACTGGGAGCAACTTGGTTGTCAACTGCAAAAGTGCGCGCAAATGTTGGGAACTTCTTTTTGTCAGATAGCTCTGCAGCACTGCACATCTAAAAAAAAAACAAAAAGAAGATTGCAGAGTGAAAATCCACCCCCTAGAACTGACATTTTTCACCAAAAATATAGCTGTGTGACGCATGGAGACATCAAGTGCTTCTGAGGGGCACAAATACAGCAACCAGAAGCTAAAAACATAATTATGTCATTGAGTTTGCTTTTAAAAAGCCTCTAAAACTTATTCTCATACAAGGAGTATTTAGACTGCAAATTTTTTTACCTCCATGGTAGCATTCTCAGCCTCCATTTGAATATCGTGTCATGCAAAGCCTAATAAAATTCAACCTCCCTTTATCACAAGAGAAAAAAACCCTATCAAACTGAAAACTTGTAAAAAGGTAAGTCTTTGGCTGTTCTAATAACTAACTTAACTAAAATTTTAAAAGGATTGATAATTCCTTAGTTTTAAATTTGGATGACCTCACTTGAAAGCCGAGAATTGGTACCCTTCATCAAAGCTAAGGGATTCAATTACACATTTTTGGAGCAAGAGGTGAAGCAAGCAGAATTTTGGATTTTATACTATGTACGTTAATATCAAAAGATTTTATAGCAAAGAGTTGTCTATTGATCAGTAATATAGCCCTTTCTCTAATAATGAAAGCAAGGAGTTAAAAGGAAATCACTCGTACACCAACTCAAACATGCACTTTGATAGCAAGCAGATATAACTTCATATGATGACTTGCGATCATAAAATTGACACCACAAAAACTTTTGCCCTGGCTTTAACTTTGAAGGGTTCAGATTTCAATAACTTTCTTTCTATCTGAAAACCTTGAAGAGAAGTTAAAACAATTCTCATGAAAGAAAGCTGACTTCACTATTTGCTTTAAACCTATATCAACAGCTGTGCATGGGATTTACATGTAGTTCAAAGAGTTCTTACAAAATTCACAAATGAAGATCTCATAAAGCACAGCTTTAGACGAAGTTAATTTTGTTTTCTCTCAGCAATCGGATATACAAATTATTCACATTAGCAGCTGTGAATTAAACCACCAGACAATTAAAAACACAATAAAGTAGAATCAGTACTCAAAAAAAAGCTCCCTGAGTTTGGCAGTCTTATTAAGTTTTATTTAAAGAAAGCACATGTTGTTTCAGGAGCGAAAAAGATTTCTTAGCAGGCGGTTAATGCAATTCTACAATTCATAGAAATACTAGGACATTATAAATGTGAGCAATTTGGCATTGTGATTCTGCCCATAATAATTCTCATTGCGTTCATATTCTTAAAAATGGAACAGAGTAGAATTTTCCTGTGAGCTTTAGCATATTTAACCTGGTTATAAATTTTTAATTTTGGCTGCTATTTCCCAGATGGATGTATTGACCTTCACAGCTTGTTTAGGCTCACCCAGGTCCAGCAATAATCAATAATTAATCATTTTGGAAGTGAATATCAAAACTGAGCCGAACTTTACAACAAGACTAGAGCCAACAGTCAAACTTGTAGAAAATTCTGTTCATAATACAAAGACTTCTTGTGATTTTTCTCATTTATTTCACGTTACAGCTGCACTGAGATTTAAGTAATTTCAAACTTGATCAGAACAGGAGAAATTAGTAATTTAAGCCGACAAAAACAATCCATTTGGTTTTAATCTCATATGGAGTGCCAAAGCCCTGACAAATTTTCAAAGTTTTCAAATCTGTGAGCATGCAAAACACATACATTTTAGATAATGAAATAGTGAGAGTTTTTCTTGTTAGCCCAAAATTTGCCACAAATATTTAAAAGAATATTAAAAAGAAAGAAAAAAAATGGCTCCTTCAATTGAAATCTAAGAGCTCCTGTCTAGAAATGGACTGACATGTAGGCATAGAATCTGCATCCTCCCCAATTTCAAGTGTGGAATAATAAATGCAGAGTGTAATATTTTCTGCTTCCATAGTAAGTCTAAGAACATCCCCAAAATGGAAAAATTCAAAAGCTGCTTAGAATTTAAAATTTTAAATAAAAACAAAAGTAAATCACAACATAAGTCAATATCACAATACATGTATATAGTTTATAGCACCATCACGGGTTAGAATTTAAAATTTTAAATCAAAACAAAAGTAAAATCACAATCACAATACATGTATATAGTTTATAGCATCATGCACTTTTATTGTTTTCACCCTCTGAGCATTTCTACCCGACAACAAATTAGTCTGGCTAAAAGTCTGAATGAAGACATTTGGAGGCTATTCAAGTCAAGAGTTATTAGAGAATTCCGACTCAAACTCAAGTGGGAGAGACCACAAGCATGTTTTCATAACTAATGCTACTTGTTGTTGACTAATTTCAGCAAGGAATGTCAGACTTCAAAATTAAAACAGCTTTTGCAGCTGAGAATATCAAAGCATCGAGTCTTCTGGGTACTCGGCAATACATTTGCCGAATCACGATTTAAAAATACTACTTTTAACATAAAAGATGACATCCTTTTCTTCGTTTTGAACTGACGTGAATTCCATTTAGCAAAGTAGTCGGTGCTTGAAGGCATGATGACAAAAAACAAGTCTACCTTTCCTTCTCGCATTTTGATGTTTGTTCATTTGTTTGATTTTTTTCTCTCGTAAAAGATATTCAATGACCTCACCTTCCTGGCTAAAAGGAAGTTGTCAACTTGAAGTGCTAACTCGAAAATGCCAAACGGATGAAATCACTTCTGAAACGTAACCCAGAGTAACCAGCAAACGAATCACAACTAGCAACACGAATCACATTTACTTTAAGTTGTTTACACTCCATAAGCGAAAGAGGGCAATCTAAAAGAGAGGTATGGAACAGTGGGATAAGCTCGTAACTTGTGTAAAAACCACAACGAACAAACAAATCTGTGAAACGAACAGCACCCGAGGCGATTCTTCTGAGCTTTGGACAAACGCATTACGAATATACACACAGGAATCAAGGGAGTTTAAATCTAAAACAGCGGGTTCATAAATCTGCATGAAAGTAATATTGACAAACGAAAACCCTTTTAAAACCTTATTGTCAAATGCAAAGTGAGTAATACATATATTTGCACAAATGAGGAGAAAAATTCTTTTCTTCGCAGAGAAGAGGTAACATTAATATCAATAAAAACGCATAGAGCTTGAATACTGGTAAACGAATAACTCAAAATGGTAAATGTTCAAATTTGCGACACTCTTCGCGACGCGGCGGTGTTTTGCGAGGATTTAATGAAAGAAGGATTTCATATGATAAAATGATTGACACAGCCCAATTCTCTTGCCAAGTTTTGTTAACTTCTTAGCATATCATAAATGTTCATCTCACCCGTAATCGAATGAACTATGGAACTGAGCGACAGTTGTTAGCAATGATCCCGCTGAAATGGGCTATTCTTCGAATTACCGAACGCAATAAAATATTCAGGCAGCCAAATAGAACAAAAACTGAGCAATTAGCGATGTTTTGAATATGTACGAGAAGGGCGAAGAGGCAGCTGGTAAACTAAAATCAGTTCGACACTGACTTGAAGCCAACAAAAATGAGAAACTAGTGATTCCCACGAGAGGAGGTCTACGCTATTTCTCTCGAAAAGCGCATAATAACAACCGTGTATAACACTACATAAAGGAAGACAAAACATCACAATAAACTGTAATGAAAATATCATAAAATACAGAACATGAGAAGGCATGATACTCACAAACGAGATAATGGACATGTTGAAAGCCGCCGCGTTCCTAGCAGCAGTTTGACAATTACATCCAGGTCCTATGAACGTTTCAACTCCAGAATTAATTTGATTTAACTGCTCGTAGACAGCAATCAATTCATCGCACTTTGTGTCTTTCCATACAAAAGTAACATTATAATCGGCCAAAATCGTTGGATCCGCATTTAATCTTTCCACCGCGATTGTCATAGCCGCAGCGTAAGATTCACCCTTATTGAAGTCGTTTTCGAAATGTGGAATCACCGTAGAATATGGTATGAGAAGACCCAATTTGTATTCCTTCTTCTCCGCCAACGTTAAATACTTTATCATTATGAGAAAAACAATAAACACTGCGGTGGACGCCATAACTCTTGTAAACACACTGATGGCACCCACGATTATGGGACGGCTTTGGAGGCGAGAGCTATGCACAAGCGAACGATCACGTCGAAGGAGCCATCTCAATACGATAAATAAAACTCCGGAAATATACCAAATGTTTTATCTACATGATAAACATTTCCACAGCCTTTTGCGGTTGGAAATTCTAATAAAACTATTCACGACTATCCAGAGTTGTGGTTCAGCCAGATTACAGTATTCGATCGATACTTCCCGTAAATTCTTAACACAACAACATGGATGACTTGTCCAAGCAGTTATAGCGACCCAGTAAAGTTTGAAAGATCACCAGATTGATCATTCATATTTTCATGCTTTCAGTCTGGCGCTGAGATCGAGAGGGCGGCTTCAATGTACCCGACTGACTTCTCAGAGAGTTACGGTCCACTGTCCCAGCAGGTTGGGTTCATTTGAAAGGCATCCTGGTTTTGGCAGCCTCATGAATAATACAAAACTTTTTGCTTCTCAAGCAACGAGACAGCAGTACGCTGCACTGCGAATATTTTCCAGGTACACAGCTGCAGAGATCCAACGAGAAATTAACCAGATGAATTCCTCTCTACCTGCAGAAAACAACAAATCAAGGGAGGTCTTGTGGACAACTATGGTAATCTTGTTCAGACCAGTTCAAATCTGTCAATACACCGCAATCCCCTGGGAGCGCGTAAGACGTACACTTCATTACGAAAACACTAAGAAACAAAGAAATCGAAATCATCTGGGTCTTTGAAGATTCCGGAGCGAAATGCCAGATTTTAAGCGGCAAAAATGACACTTTCCAAAACGTATGTATTTTCTTTTAGAGAGAATTTCTCTGGTTCAAATTAAAATATGACGGATCGATCGTGTTGAGATATTTCAACCTGCTGTGATCACTACTATGCAAAAGTTTCAAATTATTTTCATAACGTTTTTAAATTGCAGATTATAATCTACATGGTTCAAAAGAAAAACTATTTCATGGATTTTAATTAGACATATGGCAATATTCCAGAAGGAAAGTTTATTGTTCTTGCATTTTTAAAAGTCTTTGCCGTTCATTTTCCCGCCAAAAAGCCCTCATCTGATCATTTGAAAGTAGTGAAAGAGTAATGGCTAAAAACACAATCTAGATGGATAAGGCAAAGAGAGACAGGCCTACAAAAGGGTAAAATCTCTTTTAAAATGATCAAAGAAAATTTGTGGAGAGACGAAACCAATGTAAAAGTAAAGAGATCTAATATCTAACTGCTGTGGACAATTCCCGGTTCCACAGTTTAACTTACAAGGCTGCAATCCAAGCAAAGTTAGTGCCTTCCTCCTGAGGAATCTAGTACTCGCTTAATGAAAAAGACATTGAGCAAAATTATAAAGATCCATTAATCACTGTGATCGCAGCTTTTTTTCCATTCACGGCTATTTTTTTCCTCACCAGGGCGCTCTAAATAGAACTCGTGATATAAGTTTTCACTCTCTCATTGAATCCCCTGCAGATTTTTTTACCATTTACGACATGATCATTTCATTTCCTAATTGAATCACATTTCCAACCTGTTTCTGTTTGTTGAAAGATCGATCGGTCCATAATCATAACAGTGAAAAGCCCTAAAGCTAGAAGATTACGGGTCTCTATCCCATGGTGATCAAACGTTTTATCACATCTCCGATTGGTGCTTTCGTTTAGCTGTTGTTGTCTACCGAGATTCTTTCACCTTTGAAATAATGGCTTCGAAGTGATCATTTCAGAGCTATTGAAGTGAATAGCTACTCTGTCTATGCATTTACAGTTTAACGAAACCTTCAAGCGAGTAAATGATAAATAATATGCTATCTTCATTTTGAGGCATTGCTAAATGATGCCCTGAGGTTTTAGCGCATCTGGAAATAACCTGCGAAACAAGCTTTTCTTGACGACAAATTCAAGTTTCAAGTGAAACAAACTCGCAAGAGCAGTTTCGGTTTGTAATAATGAGAAAGAAACAAAAAGGAAAGATTTTTGTTGTTGTTGTACATGAGCATTGGCAGTGGCAGCCGAGAAACTTCGCATAAGATTGTTTCTTACAAGCGATTTGTTTGCTATGTTCCATTGTTAAACGCATGGTTCTGTTTATATAGCAGATGAAGTTCGGCACTTTGATAATGGTGATTGGTAAACAAAACTTCCTGTGAACACCAGAGAGCTAAAAAAAAAAACAGTCTGCTCGCAAGACTGCAACGATTTGTAAACCATCCACGTATAATTTGCTTCAACGAGCGCTTGTAAGACCGGATGATCGCTGCGTTTAGGAATGGTCTAGTCAAAATGAACGAAGAAAACGTGGCATTAACATAGTCAGGAAAAAGCACGTTAACACTCTTATGATTGTTTAAGAAAGGATAGAGTCGCACGATGCGGTAAACTTTGCTCTTTACAGATGCTGTCCCTCGCGATTCGAATAAATAAAACACGAGATCCACGAAGAAAACATGTTTACCGTGTTTATACAATTACGTCGGTTTTCATGTAGAGAGAAAAGCTTTTTTTCTGCTTTTGTCTCACCGTTTCTAGCTGTCACTCAAACGCTTTATTTTGAATCAATCTCCCATTCAGTTGATCTCGGGGAACTGAATTCATTTTTGTTTGTTAATTGTAGGAAGTTGATTCTGAAAGTGAGTCTTAGCCGAACTGCAACCGCGTTTCAGGTGCTATAGATTAGCTTACAGAATCTACTTCAAACTGTGGCTTCGTATAAATTTGTTACCTGAAATAATTTACCAGCAATAAGAACAAAGAGACCAAAATAATTAGATATTATCAACAGTGAAATCACCGTTACGAAACATCCCGAAACCCAGATTGCGTTGTAAACAACGGCAGCGGACAACAGCTATGGGTGTCGCTGGACTGATCAATTTTAATTTGTGCGTTATTTTAATAAATTTATCTGTTTTTAGAATTTGTAATATTCAAGCCAAAGACCACCCCAGAGCTCAGTGAAAAACACAAATTACAGTAACAAAGGTATTTCCTATATACGACAGGACGCCAGAAAAAAGGTAAATTTGATGTCAATAGTTACCAAGCGGAAACGTCCGTCCATGCAAAAGCGAAATTTACTATTAAAAGAGAATCTTGATCCGAATCGACAACTTTGTGGCCGAAAATGTTTTTTTGATTTTTTCATTAAGATCTTGCAATTATTCCGGAGAGGTATTAAATCATATTGAACCGTAATTCAACTTTTGAATTTGGATGTGATAAACATTTTAGTAATAAAATACAATCTTAATTTAATGCAACAGCCTCGAGCATAATTTGCATTTTAGTTCTTCACATATTACTGCAACAATCAACAATTTGAAGTACTTTTTGACGTGCCAAGTGAGCGGTTTCCAGTCTTGCAATGGTTAAAATCAGGGGGAATTTCGTCTCGTGCGTCGAGGAAAGGGGTTTGACTGATTAGAACTAGGAAATTAAAATTAATGACAGAAAAGAAAAAATTATATCGGTAAAAACCAGAAACTGAGATGGAACGTTGAAATCTAACGAGAATATATTTAATGCTATAAACAAGTTTTGGTGAGTTGTTCGAAAAACATTATGCTGGAGGGGTTCTAAAACCACATGAAATGGTCTTTGATTACTGCTCACCTTTTCGCGATTTCAACACTCACTAGTCTTAACACGGCTTAGGACGTAAAATTTCGCTTAAAGAAAATCCTAAATAGTCACTTTTCATGGAACGTCTGACACAGAATACACAAAGAGATCGGACGGGAGTTACTGCAAACGTAATCGAAATCGAGGGTCAAAGTATGGAAATTGAACATCGTTTGCGAGGACGATTTTTTTTTATGACCTTGTGGACCTACACTCAAGTTTCATTTATATTCTAAAATGAAACACCGGTAATTTCTTTCACTTACATCATGCTAAAAAAAAGTATTACAGTACAGACTCCCCGATGAAATTTGACCGTAACTTTTGTAAAGACAGCGAAGCTAAATATTGTAATATAAAACTCACCCGAAATTGTGTATCTGTGATGAACGCTAAGGTGATCGATCATGCAGCCATGAAAATCAAGGTTTTTTTACGGAAATGCGCTCGATTGTCCCGCGTTCTTGTATAAATCCGTCGTGTATCTTAGTAGCGAAGAGTCGGCTCCCCTAAGATCAATATGTATGTAATTACCCGGCGTTTGAAACATCTGCCTAGCTTGTTACTGATCGGCAACGCTTTTGCACGTCACCTGAATTTTCATTAAAATCGCGTACGACTTTACCCCAGCCTGACTAGCGTAATCTAATTTAACGATTAGGGCCAATTAAAGAGCGATTCATGTTGTTGTGATTGATAGCTGTCAATTACTGACCACGGCAGGTTTGTTCTCCATGCACACACCAGCCTTCGGTGCACTGACCCACCGATTGGAGTTTTGCAGGGTTAAAACTGTTCGAGGTCAGAGATCTGTTCAAGGTGTTTTTGGTTCAAGGCGTCTCCCTGGGAATTAAACTCGGTTAAATGTCTCGTTGGGGTGAACAAATAAATTAACAAGTTTCGTCGATTGGATATTCTTTTCTTAACAACTGAAAGTCTGATCGACTAACAACAAACATCGACTTCATTAACACGCTTTTCGCCGACCAAAAATAGGTTAACTATTCTGATGCGCTGGCGAGACTCGAAGCCGTTCCCATGTTTCCTTCGCATTATTACAATAAAGTGTCATTTCGCGTGGCTGTAGTGATAAATTATCAGACTCTAGGCTCATGGTGTTTTAATCTATTCGGTTCAAACAGACTAGAGTGGTTTTGATCGATGCCTGGTGAATGCAAATACTACACAAGTTTTAAATGCGAGGCCCGCTGGGCAAAATATAGACTTTCAAACTGGTTCTGTAATGACTTTGCACTACCACACCGTCAGCCATTAATCTGCTGAAGACACTGTGCCAGGATGAGAGAGATTCAATGCTTGCAAGCCGAAACATTCTTTGAAAAGAAAATCTCCCTGTGTAAGCCATTGCACTGTTTAGGCCTATCTATACAGCGATAGACAAAAAAATATAATTCTCAGCTTTTCCGAGAAACGCAACTTTTTCGCTTCCGTATGAAATAAATAATTGATCATTTGTAACAATCGAAGAAAATCAAGATCTAACAAATCAATGAAAGGACGTGGGCGAAAAATGTTTAGTTCCTTATTTAAACTATCGTTTAAAAAAAGATTCCTTTTTAAATGTAAGTTTTGTAAGCCAATGAAACCATTTGTAAATATTTGTATCGATTAGATCATGCGAGAACCTACTTAATAATGCAGACACTGTACCACCCTAATGTATGACAACATTTGCTTTTCTATTTTGAGAACAAAATTTCCCATTTTTTTTTTTATTGGTAGGTATTTCTTTAAACATGCGAAGCTCGTGCAAAAAATAAACCAACCGCAGTAGGAGGAGCTTCTCATTAATAAATTCAAAATCTTCGAGTCAACAGCTTTTAGTGTTCTTCCTGTGCTTTTAAGGATATTTAAACTGTTTGCATTTCGCTCAGGAAGTCCCAATGTTCTTGGATACAGAAACTGCTTAAGTACCCCTTTAATAAGTTTTCTGTATAGAAAAACAATGACCATGCTATAAACCTTGCCCTGCTAAACCTTGAACTCAGACCCCTTAAGATTGAAGTTCAGCACTTCCTTCGTGGGAACGGTTTATATCCGCAATTCAGTCGAGTGAAATCATGTCAAGTACCTTCGAGATCTACTTTCTAGAGCCCTGATGAAGTGCAAATTCTGTCTTGGGCTTTCAGTGATATTTACTTTGTATACATTTAGCTCAGGCTGTACTAATATTCTTAGAATAAGAAGGCCAACATGACTAAAGAGCTCATTTGTTTCACATTTTCCACAGAAAACTTAAAAATCTACTTTCGCCAAACACATCCCAATGATCCCTGGACCTATCACACTCTAAACTCGAACGTTTCGCGTGAGTAAGCCAATAAGAGCAAAGGCGCTGCACTTTTTAATTTAGCCAATCTGAAGCAAAACTAAAACAACGAATGACTTCAAAACCAATTTTTCCCGCACTTTAATTTCGCCGTTTTGTCGATGTCCCTGCAAATAGAGAACTGTAAGGTTTCTGTTATCGTCATTAGGGTGACATCGCAGCCGTGGTTTTTTTTTTTGTTTTTTTTACTCTCTACGACTACCATGATTTACATGTTTAGTCATTGCACGTGCTCTCTTGTGATTTATCGCGTTTATTTTCTTAATTTCTGGTTGTTTTGCTTTTCGGCTCGCTCTTAAAAGCTAATCGGTTTTTTTTTTTTAAGTCTGATTTTGCAAAATGAAAACTGTTATT